GAGGCGCGTTCACCGGGCAGGAAGCGCAAGCCCGCGGGGCGGACTGGAAAAGGGTGAGGAGGCAGGCGAACGCCGGCCACGCGGCTGGATTAACGAGCCGTCGTTAACGCCGGGAAGGCGAAACGCCACTCCAACCTCCGCCACAGTCCGGGCGATCAGCCAGGGACGAGGGCGCTGGGTGCCGTCTTAGGTGCCGTCTCGCTTTCCTGGCATGACCTTGGGCAAGGTGCACCTACCTCCGGGCTTTTCGGGACTTCCCGACGGGCCCGTGAGCCGGCGGCGCTCCCCACGCGTGGAGCAAGGTCAAAGCCTTAGGAGGCCAGGCAGCATCCGGCACGGCCCGTCTTCCCCGCGCCAGGCCCGCTGCCTTGCCCATACATCTCTGCCTTGACAGGGCTCAGATGGATTTCTAGGTGCGCAGCAGGCCGGACAGATATTCCCTGTCCGCTCCGCACAACGGCGGAGGTAACTAATGCAGGGTCACGGGTGCCCTCGAGGGCCAGGTACCCAAAGGTTAGCTGTTACGGCTGTGAGTGATGCGCCCCCTCCGCCCCCAGTTGCCGTGCCAAGCTGGGCTCCATCTCACCCATTTCCCAGCTGAGCAATGACAACGATAATTCCCTTCCTCGCGGAGAGCCTGCAAGGATTAATTCGCTAATGTGCATAAAGTGCCCAGATCCTGGAGTGATTCATAGATTTTAAAGGCCGGGGGGACCATTACAATTATCTGCCAGGGACCACGTGAGGCCCCAGATGGGCCCATTTCCATAGGAAAGCAGGTGTCACGAGCCTACTCGGCGATAACGCCGGAAAGACTTGTTGGTTTGCAAGAATGTGCCGCTAAGATCACGCCGCTAAGCTGCATTTTTCTTTTCTTTTCTTTTTTTTCGCGCTTACGAGCGACGAGACACAAAGGTTGCGGATGCGTTTTCGCTTTGCTCGGACTGACAAAGAGTCACCGCTACGGTTCCCAAAGCAGTTTCCCGACGCACCGGGTCCGGCTGCAGCTACGGCTACCGAGCGCTCCTGCAAAGCGGGTTCAGTGACAGGGTCCTTCCGCTAGAGGAGGGAAGAGACAGCACCTCTAGGAGCCTGAGCGAGGACAAACGAAAAGAAGAGTGAAGGTTTACGAGCGATTGGCTCAGAAACACCCCCCCCCACCCACGCACACAAGAAAACATATATATATTCAAAGCGAGTTCTGCTGTTCCTGCCCTCGCACAAAGCCTTTTTGTAAAAAGGGGACTGGGGCTGCTTTGCAGGAGATGAGTGAAACGCCCCGGGAGCCCAGGCGCTCGCCTCGAGCCTGAAAACGCCCCTGCGCCAAGGTCGTTTCACCTCCGGCTCGTGCAGGAGAGAAAAACCGAAAGCCGAAAAGGTGCCGGTGCGACAGAGAAAGGGCGAGAACGGCTCCCCGCCTTGGCACCCCCCCCACACCCCCGCGGCAC